AAGAAGTCATCTCCATAACATACAAGTTCAAGGTGAAGCAGCAAGTGCTGATACAGAAGCCGCAGCAAGTTACCCAAAAGATCTAGCTAAGATCACTGACGAAGGTGGCCACACTAAATGACAATTTTCAATGTGGATAAAACAGCCTTCTATTAAAAGAAGATGACACCTAGGACTTTCATAGCTACAGAGGAAAAATCAATGCCTGGCTTCAAAGCTTCAAAGGACAGGCTGTCTCTCTCATTAGGGGCTAAGCAGCTGGTGACTTTAAGTGGAAGCCAGTGCTCATTTACCAGTCCCACAATCCTAGGGCCCTTAAGAGTTATGCTAAATCTACTCTGCCCGTGGTCTATAAATGGAAAAACAAAGCCTGGATGACAGCCCATCTGTTGACAGCATAGTTTACTGAACACTTTAAGCCCAATGTTCCTTTCAAAATATTACTGCTCATTGACAATGCAACAGATCAGCCAGGAGCTGTAATGATGATACAAGGAGATGAATGTTGTTTTCATGTCTGCTAATACAATATCCATTCTGCGGCTCATAGATCAAGGAGTGGGCTTAAGATGTTCAATAAACTATGGGGTCTCACCACTTCAAGCCAAGATCATGGACTTTAACCAAATGACAAAGGAGAAACAAATGAAGCAGCTTAAAGAGAAGTAACAAGATCAGTTTCAAAAACACTTTGGTAGTAAGCTAGAAGCTGGATAAGAAGATGAGAAAACTACATATGTCCATGTGAAAACCTGTTGTACACAAATGTCTTCGACCAGGCAGGGTGGAATGTGCCTGTAGATTCAGTTACTTGGAAGGCTGAGGTGGGAAGATCACTTGAGACCAGACTGGGCAACACAGTAACACCTCATGCCAAAAAAAAGTTCATAACAGTGATATATATAACCCCCCGCAAAAGCGTAAGCAACACAGACACCATCCTGAAGAGAAGAATGGATAAACAATATGTAGCATATCCATATCATGGAATATTATTTGGCCACAAAAAGGAATGAAGTACTAGTATATGCTACAGTATGGATAAACCTTAAAAACATGATTCTAAGTGAAAAAAGCCAGTCACAGAGGACCACATATTGTGTGATTCCATTTATAAGAAATGTCCATAATAAGGAAATCTATAGGACAGAAAGTGATTAGTGGTTGCCTATAGTAAATAGAGAATGACTGCTACTGGGTATAGGATTTCTTTATGGGGTAGCAAAAATATCCGAAACTGGTTGTGGTAATGGTTTTACAACTCTGAATATACTTTAACCCCTCCCCCCCCACTGAAATGTACACTTTAAGTTGGATGAATTGTATCTTGCATGGCCTATCGCAATAAAAAAATGTTCTTTAAAAAAAAAAAAAAAAAAACTAAGTGATTGTATAATTTTCATTTATGCTTGAGGTTTCAGTTCTATAACTAACTTGTAACTGCCAGCATTGATGTTCTTGCCATTCAACAAAGCCTGAGACTTTTCAAGTTTGAGTATGAAGTCTTTTTTTTTTTTTTTTGCGATAAGAGTTTCACTCTTGTTGCCCAGGCTGGACTGAAGTAGTGTGATTTCAGCTCACCTCAACCTCTGTCTCCAGGGTTCAAGCAATTCTCCTGCCTCAGCCTCCCAAGTGGCTGGGATTGCAGGCATGTGCCACCATGCCCAGCTAATTTTTGTATTTTTAGTAGAGACGGGGTTTCACCATATTGACTAGGCTGGTCTTGAACTCCTGACCTCGGGTGATCCACTGCCTTGGCCTCCCAAAGTGCTGGGATTACAGGCTATGAGCCACCACGCCCAGGCTGAGTATGGAAGCCATTTTAGGCTGAAGTTTTATGTTTGGCTTCATTCACTTAGCATAAAATTTTCATAGTTCATCCAAGTTGCAGCATATATTAAAACTTCTAATCCATGAACACGGTATGTCTTTCCATTTATTTAGATTGTCTTTAATTTCTTTCAGCAATGTTTTGTATTTTTCAGTGTATCAGACTCATACCTCCTTTGTTAAATTTATTTCTAGATAGTTTATTCTTTTTGATGTTGCTATAAATGGAAATGTTGTTTTAATTTATTGTTAGTATAAGTAAATGCAAGTGATTTTTGTGTACTGATCTTGCATCTTGCAACTTTGCTGAATTTACTAGTTCCAACAGTTTTTATGTGAATTCTTAAAGGTTTTCTAGATAATAGCTGGGTGTGATGGCCTACACCTGTAGTCCCAGCTACTCAGGAGGTTGAAGACGAAGTATGTGTAGTCTGCTATTTTTGGGTACAGTGTTGTATAAAATACGTATTTAGGTCTAGTTGGTATATAGTACTATTCAAGTCTTCTATTCCCTTGCTGATTTTCTATCTGGTCTTAGTCATTTTTTTTTCTTTTTGCAAAGTTGTTTTATTATTGTGGTAAATACATATAACAAATCATTTTAACCATCTTTAAGTATACAGTTCAACAGCATTAAGTATATTCATATTACTGTGCTACAATCACCACGATCCACCTCCAGTACTTTTATCATTTTATAAAACTAAACTGTGTACCCACCCCCTTTCTTTTTTCCCTCCCCCAGCCCCTGACAATCAACATTCTACTTTTTGTCTCTATAAATATTATTATTACTCTAGGTACTCCATATAATTAGAATCGTGTAGTATTTCTCCTTTTGTACATGGTTTGTTTCATTTAGCACAGTGTCTTCAATGTGCATCGAGTTGTAGCATGTGTAAGAATTTCCTTCCTTTTGGGCCGGGCGCGGTGGCTCAAGCCTGTAATCCCAGCACTTTGGGAGGCCGAGGCGGGTGGATCACGAGGTCAAGAGATCGAGACCATCCTGGTCAACATGGTGAAACCCCGTCTCTACTAAAACTACAAAAAATTAGCTGGGCATGGTGGTGCGTGCCTGTAATCCCAGCTACTCAGGAGGCTGAGGCAGGAGAATTGCCTGAACCCGGGAGGCGGAGGTTGCGGTGAGCCGAGATCGCGCCATTGCACTCCAGCCTGGGTAATAAGAGCGAAACTCCGTCTCAAAAAAAAAAAGAATTTCCTTCCTTTTTAAGGAAGAATGGTATTCCATTGTATTATACAAAACAGGTTCTTTATCCATTCATCTATCAATGGACACCTGGTTGCTTCCACTTTTCAGCTATTGTAAGTAACAGTGCCATAAATGGGTGTGCTTAAAACATTTCTCCAAATCTCTGCTTTCAATTCTTTTGGGTATACACCCAGAAGTGGAATTGCCAGATCATATGGTAATTCTGTTTATTTCTTTCAGGAATTGTCATACTATTATCCACAGCAGTTATAACATTTTATCGGTCCCCCCCAACAAAGCATAAGCCTACACATTTCTCCACATCTTTGCCAACACTACTAATCTACTTTTTTAGCCAGTGGAAGTTGGCATGGAGATTTTTTTTGAGTCTCACTCTGTCATCCAGAGGCTCGATATTGGCTCACTGAAGCCTCTGCCTCTGGTAGCTGGGATTACAGGCGCAAGCCACCACGCCCAGCTATTTATTGTATTTTTAATAGAGACAGGGTTTCACCATGTTGGTCAGGCTGGTCTCGAACTCTGACCTCATGATCCACCAGCCTTTGCCTCCCAAAGTGCTGGGATTACAGGCGTGAGCCACTGAGCGAGGCCTTTTTTTTTTTTTTAATTATTTTCTCTTCTCTTTTTCACTTGCCACTGGCTTGAAGGTCAAACATGGAGAGTCTTAATAAATCCTCAATGATTATTATGACTTTTCTTTATGTCCACTGCAATTTATTTCGCTTTTTAATCTTAAATGAGGATCATCACTTAAAATCATGTACAAATTCATCCAAAAGGGACCTGTTAATGGCAGATCTTAATCAATCCGTTACTCTACTACATCATTACCTCTTCTGCATAAAATTTGTATGCAAAGGCCGGGCACGGTGGCTCAAGCCTGTAATCCCAGCACTGTGGGAGGCCAAGGCGGGTGGATCACGAGGTCAAAAGATCGAGACCATCCCGGTCAACACGGTGAAACCCCGTCTCTACTAAAAATACAAAAAATTAGCTGGGCATGGTGGTGCGTGCCTGTAATCCCAGCTACTCAGGAGGCTGAGGCAGGAGAATTGCCTGAACCCAGGAGGCGGAGGTTGCGGTGAGCCGAGATCGCGCCATTGCACTCCAGCCTGGGTAACAAGAGCGAAACTCCATCCCAAAAAAAAAAAAAAAAAAAAAATTTGTATGCAAATGTTGTAGCTAGACCTTTTATGCCATTTTGGTGAGATGAGGGCTGATGTGAAGAGATCAGGAACATAGAACTCTATTCCCTTCTTGTGTTGCACTTCTGTGCCAAAGTATGAAATGCAATCAAGAGTACCATCTGCATGCTGGGGAGAATCTCTGTAACTAATACTGTATGTGAGGACACCAGGAACAAAATTGTATTTTTTAGCACTATGAATGGATGAATTTTACATGTTTTCTTTTTGTATGGAGAATTAGAGTCCACTCTCCAAAGTTATATTTAAAGTAAAAAAAACATTTAACCTAGACGTAAATAAGAAAGTGCTATAACAGATGAGTAATACTGGAAATATTGGCTACTGTGGAAAGGGAACAAACTTACTTCTTCCAAGTGATAGTCAATTATGGCTGGACTTTAAGAATGTGTTCCTGAAATTTTATATATGACTCATCACTGCAGCCTCTGCCTCCCAGGCTCAAGTGATCTTCCCACCTCAGCCTCTCAAGAAGCTGAGACTCCAGGCACACAGCACCATGCCAGCTAATTATAATTTTTATTTTTGCAGAGATAGGGTTTTGCCATGTTGCCCAAGCTTGATGGGCATAGTGATCCACCCGTTTCAGCCTCCCAATGTGCTGGGATTGCAGGTGTGATCCATTGTGCTCAGCCAGGATTCACCATTTCTAATGTGTGACAGGTAGTAAGCTACGACACTCCAGCACTTGGTTTGGCAATTACTCACATGGGACAAAATAACCATATGATTACCTGATAGCCTTCTGTTTTCTTCTGACACCACTTCAGCAAGGCATTCCTCTTTGATCCTCCATATTCTCTGGCCAATGCTGAGAGGGGGTCTTTCCTTTCTTCTCTGAAAACAAGTAACCCAAAGTTGAAATATTTTTTGCTTGGGCACCAGAATAAGAGAACAATTTTTAAACAGGAGAAAGGCACATAGTAAGGAAAATACAAAGGCAAGACATATTTTTTCATACATTTGATTTTTAGTTTATGGCCCCATAGATCCACTGTTGTCAGAATTCTCTGCTAACTGAAGGAGGGGGACTCTATAATCATCACCCACATGGAAAGTGGCAAAGACAGTACAAAGCGCATTTAAAATTAATCAAATGCATTGGGCATGGTAGCTCATGCCTGTAATCCCAGCACTTTGGGAGGCCGAGGCAGGCTGATCACCTAAGGTCAGGAGTTCGAGATCAGCCTGGTCAACATTGTGAAACCTTGTCTCTACTAAAGATACAAAAATTAGCTGGGCATGGTGGCGGGCACCTGTAATCCCAGCTACTTGGGAGGCCAAGGCAGGAGAATTGCTTGAACCCTGGAAGCGGAGGTTGCAGTGAGCTGAGATTGTGCCACTGCATTCCAGCCTGGGCAACAAGAGTAAAACTATCTCAAAATAAATAAATAAAATAACTGTTAATGCCCTTTATCATCTCATCATTTTAAAAACTACTTACTATAAATATACAGGGCAAGGTTATGCAAGTTGTCGGATTTAAGGCATAACAGTTCTTGCCTTCAAGGAGTTTACAATGGGGGGAAGCAGATGAGACAGACAGAAGATGGCAATAAACAGTTAACAACATTTATAGCTTCCATGAAATGTCTTAGATGTGTTTAGTGCTAATTATACATCGTTTCTGACTGTCGGCAGTTAGAATTTTACCTTGCTCAAAAATGGAATTCTTTGTAAACTGACTTATTCAACATCTCCTTATGGAGCACCCCTGTGCCAGGCAATGTGCAAGCACTAGGCAATTGGGGGTGAACAACCCAGGACCTCTGCCCCCTCAAGGAACTTCAGATAGTAAGCAGAAACACTGTAGAAGTTTGGGGGGTTAAAATTCAGTGGCTATACATATGATTCATTGAAAAGAATTCCATGTAGGGTACTTTATGACATTGCCAATTGCCTTGTAGTCAAAATAAATATCCTGCCTTAGGCCAGACATTCAATCAAAAAAGGTTTTGCGATCACCCCTGGTGAAGGGGCAGGAGAGAATTACAATCCTACTCATTCTGCACCATATCTTCCCTTTTGGTCACTACTTTGGAAGTGGAACAGAACACTAAGGAATACCCAGAGAAAGAAAGTGCTGTGTAATATAACCTGCAGCTTCACTAGTAGCCTGTGCTTAAAAGATTGGTCTATTTTCAGTGATTATAGCAAAGTGGAGACTCTAGTCCCATGTTCTGTGAACTTAGCAGCCCAATAAATATCCTAAAGGTTCGTATGTTACAAGCAGCTTAGTATTCCTCAGTACATTTATTCTGTTAGTATTCATCCTCCAAAGGATGCTAGGAAATCAAAGAGGGCACATTTATAACAGAAGCTTTTCTAATTGAGGAGCCTTGAAATAGTACCAACTTTTATTTATCTAAAAACCAAAAGCAAAAATACTATTTTTCTATGTGCAGTTAGGCTGCCTTCTTGAAGAAATATACATTTTTGTGTGCCAGCCCATAAGATTCCTGCTTTGCTTTAAATAAAACAGGGATGTTCAATCTTTTGGCTTCCTTGGGCCACAATGGAAGTAGAAGAATTGTCTTGGGCCATACGTAAAATACACTGACACGAACAATAGCTGATGAGCTAAAAAAAAAAAAAAATCTGCAAAAAAAATTCTCAGAATGGCCGGGCGCGGTGGCTCAAGCCTGTAATCCCAGCACTTTGGGAGGCCGAGGCGGGTGGATCACGAGGTCAAGAGATCAAGACCATCCTGGTCAACATGGTGAAACCCCGTCTCTACTAAAACTACAAAAAAAATTAGCTGGGCATGGTGGCACGTGCCTGTAGTCCCAGCTACTCAGGAGGCTGAGGCAGGAGAATTGCCTGAACCCGGGAGGCGGAGGTTGTGGTGAGCTGAGATCGCGCCATTGCACTCCAGCCTGGGCAACAAGAGCGAAACTCCGTCTCAAAAAAAAAAAAAAAAAAAAAAAAATTCTCAGAATGTTTTAAGAAAGTTACAAATTTGTGTTGGGCCGCATTCAAAGCTGTCCTGAGCCGTGGGTTAGAGAAGCTTGCTTTAAAGGATTTCAAGAAGTCTGTTATACTATCACTAAACATAGGGAAAGAGAATGACGGAGTTATGTGAATGGATGCAAAAAAGCACGCCAAAAACAAACAAAAACTTGTCACGGCTCAACATAAAAGTCACTATTATAATAAACGGGAAAGGTTTACTTTGGCTGACATGGGGTCCATTTTGTTACAGAAACAACTTAAAAAGCATCAAAGTAGAGCAAACTCTATGGGCATAATGAGAAGCTACAAAAAAGCGCCCCTAGGAATGGAGGATCATCTCTCACTTCTTCATCTTGAGATGAGAAACTGAAGCCAGGAGACACCTTGTTGAAGATCAAAGCTCCTACGTGGAGGAGGCAGGAGGAGTGTGTGTCCTGTCTCCCAAACCAGTGTCCTTTGCACAAGCACCATGCAGGGAGCTCATCACCCAGGACACAAAGAAGAGCACTGCCAGTCTTTTCCCTGCATAGGCAGGGTGGCCCGAGCTACCTTTCTCACTCGGTTTTCTACCTGCTCCCCTGGGGCACTGCTTACTGGACCACAATTCTAAAAGGTTGGCTCCCTTAGAAGCATGGCTTTATAATAAGTGCATAATTTTAGTTTGAAAGGCTAAATATTCCATTTTCTCCTCAAGGCTATAAATTAATATATGGATAAACTTCTGCCACTCATTCCTATCCTTCCTTCAATTCTTTTTATTTTTTTGAGACAGAGTCTCGCTCTGAAGCCCAGGCTGGAGTGCAATGGTGCAATTTCGGCTCACTGCAACCTCTGCCTCCCAGGTTCAAGCGATTCTAGTGCCTCAGCCTCCCAAGTAGATGGGACTACAGATTCACAAAACCACACCTGGCTAATTTTTGTATTTTTAGTAGAGATGGGGTTTCACCATGCTGGCCAGGCTGGTCTTGAACTCCAGACCTCAAGTGATCCACCCACCTCAGCCTCCCAGAGTGCTGGGATTATAGGCATCATCATCACGCCTGGCTGCTTCCTTCAATTCTTCTTAACGCTTGCCAACAGTTTTCTTCATCCCTATAAACAATGTATGCTAAATTTTTGACATCTGTTTTTCCCCCTAAATCCTTAATACCCCTTAGTCCAAAGAGGCTTCTGACATAAGAGAACTACGAATAAACTATAAACTTAGGCCAGGTATGGCGGCTCACACCTGTAATCCCAGCACTTTGGGAGGCTGAGGTGGGTGGATCACCTGAGGTCAGGAGTTCAAGACCAGCCTGGCCAGCATGGTGAAACCCCGTGTCTACTTAAAAAAAAAAAAAAAAGTTAGCCAGACACGATGGCTGGCACCTGTAATCCCAGCTACTCAGGAGGCTGAGGTAGGAGAAACACTTGAACCTGAGAGGTGGAGGCTGCAGTGAGCCAGGATCGCACCACTGCACTCTGGTCTGGATAACAAGAGTAAAACTCTGGAGAGAGAGAGAGAGAGAGAGAGAGAGAGAGAGAGAGAGAGAGAGGGAGGGAGTGTGTGTGTGTGTGTGTGTGTGTGTGTGTGTGTACACACATACACATTCTTAGATTTTCATGTACTTTTTAATCAATTATTAATGTAGCACCATGTTCCCAGACTCCCAGTGTAAACAAAGACAGCCATCTTTGATATCTTCCATTCCTGCATTCTTTTTATAAAGATCTGAAATCATCTTTCTTTATGAAAAACTTCCTGGGTCCAACCCTCTCTTCACCTCTTTTCCACTGTTACCACACTGGCCCAAACATGGTAATTTATTTACACTACTTTATAGCTTCTACTACATCAAAGTGACTCAATTTGAATTTAAAGAAGTTCCATCACCTTGCCATCCCCTACCTAGTCAATCTTTTCTTCTGCTGTTCCCTGATATGGTAGGTACACCTTCCTCTGGACTTATGTAACAGGCCGCTGAATCTGTAAAACCACCTACCTACAGCATCCCCCTCCAGACTCCTCACTTATTCATTCATTTTGTATATTCCCTCAAGTTACTGACCTTGCCAATAATGTCACCCAGCCCTCCCTATCTACAATTTTCAAGACCCAACTCAAATTCCAACCTTCTGGGATGCCTTCCTTAACACCCCACCCATTCCGCAGTATTTAAATTCACAATACTTTCTTTTGCACTCAACCATTCTCTAATTAAAAAAATAAGATACAGTTGCTTAGGGAAAGGAACTATCACTTTTACTTTGTCAGTGTCTTCTATACCATTTACCTAATAAGAAATATTAGTAAACCACACACAGAAACAAAAAAAAAATCGCAGTGCTCAAATGCCATCATTTTACAACTTGATCATTTACTATCAAAAGGCCAGGAAAGATACACACAAAATGCAAGAATATTAACTGTTCTCTACCTTATTCGGCTTCGGGTGGTGGGAGTCACAGACGCTGTTGGAGAAGAGGATAGGGAAAGCTGTGGAGACGTGGTTCCCATAGCCATCAGAGAGGCTGGCGATGCTCCCTCCTGTGCAGAAATGTCCCGTTTCATTTCTTCACTACTTCGTCGAGAGACTGTGAGAAATAGTCATCACGCATTTTATAGCAAAAACATTTTAGACTGCGTTCTTGAGATTTTTTCTGAAGATTCCAAAAAGAACAGATATTACTACACAGGAGGAAAAACTAATACTGATAAATGGAAAGTATTTCTTATTTTTCCATTAAAAAAACTGTGAGGCCAGGCACAGCGGCTCATGCCTATAATCCCCCCAGCACTTTGGGAGGCTGAGACAGGCAGATCACTTGAGGTCAGGAGTTCCAGACCAGCCTGGCCAACATGGTGAAACCCCGTCTCTCCTAATAATACAAAAATTAGCCAGGCATGGTGGTGCATGCCTGTAATCCCAGCTACACAGGAGGCTGCGGCAGGAGAATTGCTTAATCCCAGGACATGGAGGTTACAGTGAGCTAAGACTGCACCACTGTGCACTCCAGCCTGGGTGACAGTGAGACTCCGTCTCAACCAACAAGCAAACAAACAAATACAACAACAAAAAAATGTGAAAAGATACAGTAGTTGAAATATGCACGGAGCTCCATATTCCTTAGAGACAAGGAGTTTGCCTAATCCATCCCTTTAACACTCATGCCTATTAAGCACATAGTGAATACTACATAAACATCTGTCTAATTACAAACACAACTAAAAACCAAAGGTTAATTATAACCAGATTTGTAACTACTCTGCCCTGCCCAACACACACAATTCAAATCAACACAACCCTTCTGAATTTAGCCAAAAACACTGTTAAAGGGACAGAAAGGAAAGATATACTTCATCACAGGGCTACATGTAATGCTAGCTAAGGGCACTTTTATTTTTTTTTTTTTTTCGTGAGGGAGTCTTACTCTGTCATTGAGACTGGAGTGCAGTAGTGCATCTCAGCTCACTGCAACCCCTGTCTCCTGGGTTCAAGCGATTCTCCCGCCTCAGCCTCCTGAGTAGCTGGGACTACAGGCACCTGCCACTGTGCCTGGCTAATTTTTGTACTTTTAGTAGAGACAGGGTTTTGCCATGTTGGCCAGGCTGGTCTTTAACTCCTGACCTCAGGTGATCCACCCACCTCAGCCTCCCAAAGTGTTGGGATTACAGGCATGAGCCACCACACCCAGCCTCAGGGCACATTTGAAGAAAAAAAAAAACTAAATGAGACAGAAAATCAAAACGTATTAATTCAACTGTTGGGAAATAGCAACAATCTTTTGGAAAAGTCCTATTGTGAAGTTTGGCACAGTAAGACATTGTACCACCTTATTAGAATTACAAAGTGTTCCAAGAACTGTTGAGTGGAAGCACCCACTTCAGCCACTGCTATCAGCCCCACAACAGCAGCTTTCTAGAGGCGGCACTGACTACTGCCAGGTGCTCAGAATGCAGGGCTGAACATAGTGACAACTGACATAGTTGACAAAGTCCCTGATCTCAGATTCTTTCTCACCTCAGAAGAAGGTGGATCTGCAGGAGCCATTAACTCTATCATCCCTGGGCTGATTTAACGCAGTCAGTGTTACACATCAGTAATTGCTTTCCCCTGACAACTAAAAACTGTCCCACCCCACTGCCTTTATTGGCTAAAATTTTCTAATGATTTTAGGATAGCCACAGCAGAATATGTCACTCTGCATTAGTAAAGCAATGCCCTTAAAGATCCAGAGGCACAAATGCTCTCTCCTATTACATGATCTTCAAATGACGTGCTTATATATTTCTGGCATAATTTATGATTATGGTTTTTTAGTTCAATGTCAGTTCTTTATGGTCCTTAAATCAGTAGTTTCTTTTAAGTGGTATGCTAGGAAACTGGATGAGAAAACCTCTCAGAACTTTATATAAAATAGTGGAAACAGGCTGAGAAAGAATCTGGAGAACACACACAAACACACACACAGAAAAAGGCTTTGGGATGGTAATTTTAGCTGATCACAGGACTTCCCATTGATTAAAGCCCAGCTAGAGAGGGCACAGTGGCTCACGCCTGTAATCCCAGCACTTTGGGAGGCCAAGGTGAGAGGACAGCTTGAGGCCAAGAGTTTGAGACCAGCCTGGGCAATACAGTGAGATACTGTCTCTAAAAAACAAAAAATAAAAAAAAAATTTCAGATGAAAGTCATCACCTGAGAGGGTCTTGGCACTTTCCATTGCAGGCACTCTCGGGAGGGAAGCAGGCCGGCTGGTTGAAGATGTTCTTAACAGATGCTCTGCACAAAGTAGAAAGGATCCCAATAAAGAAATATGATGCTGAACTTTAAAGTAACAAAGGTAGAAAGAAGGTGAGTTTTACTCCTTTCGACCTTGAAGCTCATCCTTCTTCCCAATTCAGGGAACTTCAACAATTTCCCATAGTCTGTTTATCCAAAACAACTCATGTATACACAGAACACAGTAGAACATTCCATTCAATGTTTCACCTCTAGGAATGAGATGCCCCACACAGACCAATACTTCTAAATCCTGGGCTGCCACTTACCTGTTTGATGCAACTCCATCAAAATCAAAGATCCTCTACTGCAACTACGTCTAAGCTCCAACTAAATAAAAGCTTTGCCTTCATGTGCCTACAGTTAGTGTGGAAGCTACACATATTAATATATACAACCATAGACAAGTCAGGATGGGATAAACAGAGTCACAGAATGATAAAAGTATTATCAAACTACAGAGGAGAAGACATTCCCTTTGATTTCAGGCAGCAGGGAAGGCTTCAAAAAAACCAATGACATTAAGTAAGCTGGGCCTTACTGAAAAGAGGTGGGGAACTATATGTTAGTCAACAACAATCAGAGAAAGGTACAAAAACATTCATGTTAGAGAATAATGAAGGCCAAGTATGGCTAAAACATAGGTATATGGAGAACAAACAAGGCAGCAGGGAAAGGGGCTTTAAAGAAGGGTGAGGCTGATTAAGGAAAATCTTCATTACCTGGCATGTGGACTTTAATCTGAGGGCAACAAGGAAGCATCAAACATTTTTGAGCCTTCAGGAAAGGACACAATCAGATATTGCTTCGATTGTCTCCACTTGCAGCCTCACCTTGTTCTACTCCTCTCTTGTTCTCTAACCACAAGTTGTCTTGGGAGTTCCTTCAATTTCTTGAGCATTGGCACCAGCTGTCCCCTAGGCTCCTCCTCTATTCCCTCCTAATACTGGTTAACTTGATCATCCTTCAGGTCTTAGTTGAACATCACTTCCCCGGGACCTGCTTCCCCACCAGCACCCACCAAAAACAGATCGGAGTTGCCCTGCTCTCTTCCTGCACACTATAGCCGACAAGAGGCTACAGCCCAACAAGAGACTCTTCAGACCAGGACACACAGAGGCAGTCACAAGGACAACCAGAACTGTTCTTTCTGATCAGGGTCTGGCGTGTGACTAGGCTAAGGGAAAGCCTAGTCACACGCCAGACCCTGATCAGAAAGAACAAATCTGCCCAGAAGCACTTGTTGAGTCTTTCTTACTGCCATGTCTAAGGATCCAAGTCTGCCTCGATTTGACAGACTGTCCCTGTCATAGCCTCGTACTTACTTTCTGAAAATACTCAAAAATGTACTGAGAACCCAAATAGGTTATTCTTTTAAAAATTATTTGTGTTAAATTTTAACAGCCACAATCCAGGCTGCTGCCATGTCATGAAGTATTTTTACTGTGAGAATCAAATCTGCCCAGAGGCACTTGTCACAGTAAGAACACAGGTCCTTTTACTATTCTAGTAAGTAGGCTGGTTTCCATGTTCATGTCCAACTGTCGGTTTATCCCTCTTCAGGAAATAAGATTAGTCTATTACAATTGAGTGTAGCAGGCAGGAGATATTGTATTTACAGTAACAGATTCTATTCTATTGCCACATGGAGCTATTCTTGTCTTTAATCCATTCATTAAACAAAAATCATCTGAGTGACCACTACTTGCCAAGCACTTGGCTTGGTGCAAAGGTCGGAGAAAAAAAGAAAGGAGACAGGAAACTTGCTCTCGTGGAACCTGGGGTCTAGAGCAGAAGCAAGCATTCAAAAAGTCATTACGAATAAGTGATGCTAAGAAACAACAAGTACCGGAGTTCTGGGAACAGAGCGGCAATGTGACCTGGTCTTGAGGGGAGAACAGGAAAGGCCTCCTCAGGAAATGACAGCAAAGTTGAGACTAGAAGTATAATTAATAGTCTTTATGCAGGCAAACGAGAGCTTAGAAGAAAAAGAATGTTCCCAGCTGAGTGCTTAGCATACCCTCAAAGAAATTGAGGACACTGTGGCGATGTTCAGAGGGAGGGGAAGAGCAGAGCGAGGTAAGCCTTCAAAGATAGGCCAGAGGGCCAGCTCAGGCAAGCATGAGTCATGAAGGCAAACTCCAGGGTAAGGTGTCTGGACTTTAGTTGGCAAAGGGGAGCCAATGGAGGTTTTATCACGTTAGCATTTTTCTGGCTGCAGCAGATTGCAGAGGGGTAATGGTTTATACAGGACAATGAGTTACAGTGTGCAGGTAAGAGATGACGGCGACTTGGACTTGGGTGGTACCAAGTGAGTACGTGATGTAAACAGATTCAAGGGCTCTTTGATGCAGCAAAATCAACAGACTTGCCAACAGATGGATGTGAAGGTAAAACGGAAGGAGGTACCACGTACAGAGGTAAGAAAGGTGAGGAGGGTTATGGAAGAGATGTGAACACACTTAATTTGAGAACTCTCTGAGATACCCAGGGAAAGATGTGGTCCAGGAAACGACAGAGACAGTGTAAAAGAAAAGTCTGAAGTGAATATATTGTTTTGAAAATTTTCAGCACATAGGTGACGGGGTGGGAGAGCACTTGGTGACATGGAGGTTACTGGTAATCTTGGTCAGAGCAATTAATTCAATGACAAAAGTAAGATGAGAATGTGGTGGGGAGGGAGTGGTAGATAGGAAAGATATGGAGATAAATTGAGCAAGGGTAAGAAAGACAGTATAGTAGCTGGTGGACAAGAGAAGGAGGATCTTTTTCTACTTAATGAAGGAAAGATGTATTTTTTTTTTTTTTTAATTAAAGATGGGATTTTGCCATGATGGCCAGGCTGGTCTTGAACTCCTGACCTCAGGTGATCCACCCACCTCGGCCTCCCAAAGTGCTAGGATTACAGGCGTGAGCCACGGCACCC